TTGCAGTTTCCCGTCAGCCTAAAATGGAACAGCCAGAGCTATTCATCATATGCTACTCAATTATGGATGTCTGAAAACTTGAGCGTGCTACAGTCATATATTTGCAAGGATAAGAGGGGAAAGAGTTGTGCTGGGAAAAGCCATGCCCTCAGCGCCGTGCAAGAAACCAGCTCCGTGGACACAGACGAAAATACAGAATATGGGGTAGTTTTAGCACAATTCAGTCACACTCGGGCCTCAGACCTTGCCTTTAATCATTCGACTGATTCAAACTCAACTTCTGCATTTGACCCATCCTGATGCCACTAGGGCAGGGGTGTCAAACTCATTTTGGTTGGGAACAAAAGTACTTTTATTATCACAACTGTGCCAAGTTTTGCTATTACGTCAGCGACCGCGCCGGCACGTGCGCCACTGAGCACAAACCATTCTTTTGAATACGGCGCCATCTTGGATCGCCCGGACTTGGTTATTGGGGCCGTGTTACGATTTGCTGGTAAAAGGGAGTCAAAACTGCTGATCAAAATGTCTTCTGTAGCCTCCATTGTTGAAGCTGGGAAGCGATTTGAAAAGGCGTAAGATATAGGATGGATGTAGTATATACTAGTTTCACTTCTTGGTACTTCTGCACTCTTTGCTCTCGCTTCTCAGCTGATATGAAGAGGTCTACGGCCCAAGTAACACCTCTCCAAATCAGACGCTTTTATATATCCAGGACACGGCTGCAGGGCGCAGTTGAAATCCACCAAATATTTAAAAAGGGTCTGAAGAAAAATATGCTTTAAAATGAAGTATAACATGCCATAGTTTTCCTTTAGTATTCCATAGTCATTGCAGCAGCGATAATTGCAAATCATTTCAGGGGCCACTAAAAATGGCTTCGTGGACCGCATTTGGCCCACGGGCCTTAGTTTGACAGTGGTCTCCGTGGTAACAGCGCCGGGAACCATCTCAGTGATTTATACTTGCTTCTAGTTTTGCCAAATGTAGAGATTTTATTTTATTTGAATTAATATAGTTACTGTTCATGTATCTCTGTTGCAACTGTAACATGGGTGAAGAATCCTTTAAGAGTGATACCTCGGGTTACACTACTGATCTTTGCATCCCCCTGCGTGACCGGGGCTGGCCAATCAGCCAGTTATATTTTCCCCAACCAGTAAGCACTGGAAATGCGAGAGAGGCCATGTATTGGGTTGCTGCAGGTACGGTTTCTGTAACATCCTATTCTATCCTAGCCGAGCTACCATCACCCTAGCGCTCTTGATAGAGCCTTTGATCAGTTACACAGGAGAATCGGTAAACGCTCTCATGAGCTCATTCATTCCAGCGTCTAGCTTAGCATTAGCCGTTCCCTCTGTTTTTAATAGGTTTTGTTAGCATCTGCTATTTATGCCAATTATCTGTGTGCTTTGTATTTAATGTCCAAACCAAATGACAATCATCTTAATGAGATTAGTGTGAATCATGACACTGTTTACATGCACTTTGTGGCGTTTTATTTACCTGCATATGAAATCCTGTTATGATTTCATTCTATTGCAATGCACTAGCACTTTACCTCGTAGAGTTGAGCATTTTCCAATGCTTTTATTATAGAAACTTGTTTTGTAGAATGATGTGTGTGAAGTAGTAGCATCCTATTGCACTTTTAATTATGAAGCGATGTGCATCCTATTTGAATATATTGACTTTGTGTACACATGGATTAATGACATTATTACTGATATATTTTCTATAGTTATTTAGAAGTGTATTAATGTAGTTTAAAGTAATTAGTATTATGTTTAGTATTTACTAAATGGAGTTAATGAGGGTACTGTTCTGTTATACAGGCCAGGTTTTGATGGCGAGCTAAAGAACTGGAACTAGTCCTGGACCTGCTTGGAAACCTGAGCCCACCGACCTCAATAGGGCTGGTAGGAGGCTCTTGCAGCCAACCAGACAAACTCTCGCACCTTGCACTTTATCCACGACCCCAACAATGCCTCCTTTTCACTCCTCACACGGACACTTACCTCTGGACTCAAACCCAATTCTCGGGTCGTGTGGATTTCGCTCTGTTGAGCGCGTGCATTCTCACCGCGTTGCGTGAGTGGCCCACGGGTCAAATGTAAATATCGGACTCTATATTGGACTCTAAATCAATGCGTGTATATATATATATTGCTTCACTTGTAAATGATTCTGTGTATTGAGTGTATTAGAGATTTGAGTATATGTGAATCCATCCATCCATTTTCTACCCTTTAATCCATTTCTGGGTCAGGGGGGTGGCAGTCAGAGATGCCACCCAAGTCTCATAGCACCAGCCCCTCACTGACCCTCTGCAGGTGGTGAGTCCACAGGAGGACGGCTGCTCTCTGAGTGTGAGCATAGCCTTGATCTTTCAGTGGGAGCTTTTTGGGCAAAGTGGGGTTAAGTGTCTTGCCCAAGGACACAACGACAGCAGTCATCAGTGGGAGTCGGTGGAGAAGGTGCAGAGGTGGGAATTGAACCCACAACCTTCTGGGCTTAAGGCCAATGCTCTACCAACTGAGCTACTGTCGCCCCGTATATGTGAATGGCTATTCTAATTCTTTTGTCTATATTGTCTAATTGTGTACAATACATGGTACCTTTTTAATATGCAACTATTAACCCAGTCTTTGCCTCTTCTCTCCCTGAGTCTTATCTAGTCTTTCTGAGTTGAACTAGCCTAACTACTGAACTTGTTGAACTACTATTGTTAGTATTTATTGCTATTAGCTATTTCATTAGCAACATAAGTGCTACACAACACTGAAATGTCCTCGCTGTGGGACAAATAACGGATCTCTTCATCTCGTAATCTCCAGATGTTGATGCTCGGCTCGGTCAGGACTGGAGCTGGTGGATGTTACCTACTGTACATGTTTTTAGTGGTAGGGGAAACCGGAGCACCTGGAGGAAACCTACGCAGACACAGGGAGAACGTGCAAACTCCACTCAGAAAGACCCTGTTCAGACTGGGATTCAAACCCAGGACCTTCTTGCTCAGCCACTCCAAAAAATATAAAAATACAGCTTTGTTTTCTCAAGAGTTTTTCAATCAGAGCTGCAGATCAGAGCGGACCCCCCTCCCTCAGCCAATCAGCTCTCAGCCAATCAGCTCTCAGCCAATCAGCTCTCAGCAAATCAGCTCTCAGCCAATCAGCTCTCAGCCAATCAGCTCTCAGCCCAAAGAGTCAAAGGTAAAATATGTTTCCAGTTAAAGTTGGAGACGGCTTGTTTTGGCCTGATTTGTTCCCAACATTTGACATTTACACGACGCTTTTTGTGACAAACAAAATCTATTATTTATGGAGGACAAAAAGTTCGCTTCAGCTTCAAGGCATAGATCGGTTTTGTGTTGTCATGGGTTACGGTGTCACACCCTCCGGGCTCCGATCCAAATGGGACAAGCAGATCGGCTGTGGTTTTAAAGCTGGGGTACCTCACTTTTTCATGAATAATACATGTCGTTTGTCCCGACGGAAATAGTCTTGTTCCGACCACAATTCTAACCACTACATTCTTTCCTCGTCTTGTTAGAAAACATATTTTAGTATCGTTTTAAGAAAGTCCTGAGAGCGAGGCTGGTTCTCTCTTTTTCACTTTTCTTCATGAAAACCTTGATCGAAAGATGTGACGGAGGCCAAAAAGACGTGGAAACTGTTTTTAGCATTATTGTATTCCACATTTTACATTTGATCCTTAAAGAATGCAATGTTTTTTATTTGTGGGATTTTCTAAGATGTGGAACAACTAATAGCACATTGTTGGTTTCTTTTTTATTATTGGCCTTAACCATTGAACTAAAGTGAGGTAGATTTCAGTTCCAAGCTTCAAGTGGATATATTAACTCAAAAGATTATTTCATTTTCTGACGTAACCATAAACAGTGTTTTTATATCTTCTGGTAGAGCTCCGTTTCTATTTTTGGATTAGCTCTAAGATTTTCATGTCCAGTCCTCATTAAAGGGCCCTAATCTGTCATAATTAAAGGGCCCTAATCTGTCATCATTAAAGGGCCCTAATCTGTCATCATTAAAGGGCCCTAATCTGTCATCATTAAAGGGCCCTAATCTGTCATCATTAAAGGGCCCTAATCTGTCATCATTAAAGGGCCCTAATCTGTCGTCATTAAAGGGCCCTAACTGATAACAGTCGCTCAGAGATATTTGAATTTCTAAATTACTTTTCCAGCCCCTAAATGTTATTGTTTTCATTTCGATGTCCCGCCCTCCACCGTTTCACCAATCAGAAAGTATGTGATCCGGGCGCCAGAACTCACCGCGTGGAGCTAATCTCACTGGTAAAGTACCATGTGGCGCAGAACTAAAAAAGGTCTTGTTATGATTCTCAAATCATTAAAGACAAAACAAGGAATAAAACCAGGATTTCTATCTTTGTGAAAAAGGTTTTGGTTATAGATTTGTTGTTGACTAAACTCTTGTCTATTCAGCTGTTATGGTCCCAGCTGGATTCGTCTGCATATCTGGCAACCTGAGTCAGGGAGAGTGGGAGAGGCTGCAGTACCACTTTTGGCCACATTTGAACACACTGCTCCTTTCACAATGACTAATTATATTATTGTACATTATTCAAATTCTAATTATTGATGTAAAGAAAACAGTTTGGTCATCACTAGTTTCCAGAGGACCCCCCCTCACTCAATCAGCCAATCAGCTCTCAGCTCATCATACAGCGTCAAATAATGACTCACAAGGCTCTTTCTCACAAATATTTAGATTTCTAGTCTGATTTGTTCACTTTTACAAGACTCTATATTACATACAAAACACAAAAATCAGTTTATCCAACTTTAAATCTGTTTCAAAGGAATCTCCTCAAAGATAAAACACGGTTGAGATTTTCTTTTTCTTTTCATGTGGCTGACACACGGCGACATAATCCACACAAACGACACCACTCTGGGCGAGCCGTGTTATCAACGCTTGAACTGAAGCCAGCGGGGTGCATGGCGCTAATTACCCACGATGCCTTTGTGCGGAGAGCTGCGAGCCGCCTCACATGTGTCCGATCACATGTTCCGAGTGTGAACACAGAGCGGCTCCATTACGGCCAATTATCTGGAAGAGGTTTCAAGCCGAGAAGCATATGGCGGCCTCGGTCCTTTCTCCTTTTTCAAAGTTCAAGTTGGAACATTTAGACGCCGCAGAGAGACTTCGCAGACATAATCCCGAGCTCTTGAGGATTTTACCGGAGGTGCTTTTAAGCCTCCGCACACATCTGTATCTCTGTTTTTTTCGTTTGTGTGTCTTTGCAGCTGCGTGGACTGAGGCAGGACTTCACTGCAGAGAAAGATAAAAGAAGAAGATAACAAGATTATTCCTCCCACTGCAGGGAAATTTCAGTTATGATGAATACACGTGTACGCATAAAGGCAGCGTACAATTACTTCCGTGACCCTTATGGGTAAAGTGGCTAAAAGTGTCTTGCCCAAGGACGCAACAACAGCAGACATCAGTGGGAGTTGGTGGAGAAAGTCTTGCAGTGGATTCGAACCCAAGACCGACCATCCCGAAGACCAATGCTCTACCAACTGAGCCTCTGTCGCCCCAAAATATCAGTATTAATCCAGAGCACCTGGCGGAAACTGGAGCACTTGGAGGAAACTGGAGCACCTGGAGGAAACTGGAGCACCTGGAGGAAACCGAAGAACCTGGGGGAAACCGAAGCACTTGGAGGAAATCGGAGCACCTGGAGGAAACCGGAGCACCTGGAGGAAACCGGAGCAACTGGAGGAAACCGAAGCACCTGGGGGAAAACCGGAGCACCTGGGGGAAAACCGGAGCACCTGGGGGAAAACCGGAGCACCTGGGGGAAAACCGGAGCACCTGGGGGAAAACCGGAGCACCTGGGGGAAAACCGGAGCACCTGGGGGAAAACCGGAGCACCTGGGGGAAACCGGAGCACCTGGGGGAAAACCAGAGCACCTGGAGGAAGCCGGAGCACCTCAGAAAGTCCGCACCACTCAGAAAGACCCTGTTCCAACAAGGGTTCTAACCCAGGATCTTCTTCTGCTTCATCCAACCCCTTTTTCAAACTCTCTTCCTGTTTATTTCGTATCCTCGCCATTTCCTCTCTTGTTGATCGTCTACGCAACGTTTAAACTCTGCAGAAAAGGTCATTAACTGCCTCCTTTTGAACAGGAAGCAAACCTGACACTCACTGAACTAAACATTACTGGCAGAAAACGCTTCCCCCACAGTTTGTTGATTCATCTTCAGCTCCATTACATCTAAAACACACAGCGTCTGTCCAGAAGCAGGAAGTTAAAACACAACTTGTTCTTTTAATTCCCTCGCTAAAATTCTCTCCCGAAACTTGCTTCTAATGCGGCTGCGAAGAGGTTAGTGCTTAAACAAGTGCCCGAGCGGGAGACCTTGACCCACAGTCACACAATCCTTGCCTTAAGCTCCATTACCGCCTCATTATCTGGCACATTTATAATTAAGAGGCCAAAACCGGCTCCTCTGAAAGCATTCGTCCTTGAGTTTCATGTTTTAGTAAGACGCTCACAGGGCCAATTATACAGAACAGCTGAGAGACGGGTTACGCTCAGGTGAGGAAACTATTTCAGCTGATTTTTTTTAGGAATTTACATCTGGCGTGGATCAAGAGAGTTGTTCCGTCATTGCTCGAAGGGTTGTGTGGTGTACATGTGTCGTGCAAGTGTCACGTCAGAGTTGGATTAGACAGAGAAATATCTTATTGCATGATATTACAGGTTTACTTTTATCCCACATAAGCTCCTCCCCCTGCCCCATCCTTCATAATCAGGGGTGTCCAAACTTCTCCCTCCCCCAGCACTGCCCCACGTCTAATTTTTGCCTTTTAGTTCGAATGTGTGTTTTATTTTGTGGCTTTGTATTATTCTGTAACTCTGCAACTCTCAGTGGTTTTGAATTGCCCCTCGATTATAAATAAAGTGTTTTGAATTGAACTGAATTTAAATTTAGTAAGTTATTTGAATTTAGACAACCCAGATTGTAAAATTGTCTCTTGACTGAATTTGGGCTGTCTTGAGCTCTAGAATGAGCTGCGATGGAGCTGAAGTTGGCTGAATGACAGAATATAATCTCACCAGATTTATTAGTGCCATTATTGTAATTTTATGAAACACTAAAAAACAAAATTCAGTGAATATACACGTAAAGTAATGGCTTGAATCCAGAGGTTCTGTGCTGTAGAACGTGCTGCGCTGTCAGTCTGTCTAGCGCTGAAGTTGGAGTTGGCTGGATGACACTGTGAACACGTGTTTTTGATTTAAGACAGAACTCCTCAGAAGGACATATAACATGACACAGAGGGCCACTGATTGGTCCTCGGGCCTTAGTTTGGACATGCCATGTTTGGACTGTGTCACATGTTAATGAGTCTGCTGCAGGAGACATAAAGCCTAGCGTACATGGACAGAGAAACTGGAGACAACTAGTTTCAAGGCGGCTTTTGGCGACTGAGAGGAGATGATGGAGATGATCAGTTGAAATCAGTCGATGTGATCAGATTCAGTTTATTTGCCATTTGCAGTAAAAAAAAACACATTGGAATACATTAGCAAAAGTCTCTAGTGTGCACAGACAAATACAGACATAAAACAACATTAAAAGACAGAAATAAAACAAATAAAACAGTAAACAAATGTCACTCTGAAATCGATCGACTAAAACAGTTTCAAAACAAGTGCAAATCATTAAAGTGCTCTGTTCACACTGATAACAGCCTGTGGATAAAAACTGTTAGCGTAACGAGATGTCCTGCATCTCAGAGAGCGATATCTTCTGCCAGAGGGAAGAAGCTGGAACATGGCTTTCCCAGGGTGGCCAGAAGAGTCATTAACAATCCTAAGAGCTTTGTTTAAAAGTCTGGATTTATAAAAAACCTCCAGAACAGGAAGCTCACAGCCCACGGTCCTCTTTGCAGAGCGGAGAACCTTGTTTAAAGCTCTCTTTTCTTTATCTGTGATGTTTCCAAACCACACAGACACAGAACCAACAAGTAGAGCGCTCTTACAACTGGAGATAAACTGTCGATCTCCGGATTCAGTCAGTTGTCCTCAGATCCGGAGATGTGTGTATAGCGCCCTCTACAGTTTATGTCAGAAAACACACTGTAGTTGAGGACAGTTGCTGTCGATGTACGCGCTGTTATTCCCCAGACTGGTCTGATACTGGAGGTGCCCGTTTTCGTCAGATTGTCCATGTGTGCGGGGCAGCAACTCATATGCGACGGATATAATCAGGTGCCAGTCCGATGTACACTAGACATAAGGATTCCACTGCTGAGAATGTTTATGTGACTATAACTACATCAGAACATCATTTCCTCCAAATTAGTAGATTCATTATTTTCTCCTTAACCAGCCTGGAATTTATCAAACATGTTAAATATATGAGCAGAAAACAGAGAACCATCTTTAATCAGCTCATCAGCTTTTAACCCAAAGCCTCAAATTCACTGGACCTGTGTTTTCTATCAAGATGAAGTTTTGGTCTGATTTGTTTCAACATTTGTTCTTCTGTAAAACTCCTATTGGGACAAACTACATTTATTATTTATGTGAAAGTGTGGTAGGTAAGTTCTGATGTATTGACATATTGCGGTGAGACAGTTTGCTACTTTTGATCTTTGACATTGGTTGGCAAAACCTCTAATCTCCCCGGGCAAAGCAAGTTTTTTATCCATAACATAAAGCAACCCAAAACCCATGAAAAACATATTTGAAGTGGAGATCGGCAGCTCTCTGCGAACTGAAAAATATTATGGTGAAGCCCAAGGCAACTTTCGGAGTAAGTTGAAATGGATACAAAAGTTATTGCATAGACATTTCTTCTCCAACTTCTCCGGTTGAAACACGCCAGCTGAATGAGAAATTGCCTTTTTAGAATACTGAGTGGAGTTTACCGCAGAGACCAGAGCCACAAGCAGCGCTGCGAGCTGACGCCGCAGTTTGTCAGACGCATTTGGCAAAGCCGGCCGACATATTTGTTTCCTTATTTCAATGCACTGCCAATTACAAGTGGGAATATCTCGCTAACAACAGCTCGGCGGCCAAAAACATATCACTTGCAACACTTGTAGGCCTTTTGTTGAGAAGCCTTGGCAACCATTTTATTTTCAAAGATTCTGCGCTGCTCCAAATTCAGGTCACAACATAATTATTTGAAATTGATTCAACAGTTCTTTGAGTGGCCCGCGTTTCTAGAGGCGCCAATACAGAGTTGATTATCCACGGACACACTCGATTCATCTGAGGTGGGAGTGGGTAAATGGACTTTTTCATACAGCAAATTGCAGTTTACAAGACATTTGGCAGAGAGGCGAGCCGCGGTGAGCAGAAATTACCCCACAGATCAACAAGCTTTTTGTCTGACACTGTTCCGAGGCTACAATATGTTCCAAAAAGGCTTACTCGAGTAATGAAAGCGAGATTTATTCGGGGCCATTCCAAGTCATCACCTCGATTCTCTGTCAAAAACGGGACAATGTGTTCAATCTGTTGGAACGAGAAGACTGCATTTGTTTGTTTCAGAAACTGGAGATGTGACTTGGAAATATTTGGAGTGGATTTGATGTGGAAGAGGATAATTTTGACATAAACAAGCTGGAGCCAATTTCCTTCTGCAGGGATTTTTTTTATTCTTTCCGCAGAGTTAGCTTTGCGTCATAACATAGACTGTAAATCAATCAATCAAATCTTTATTAGTCGAGCAGATTTAAAACAGCCTGGGCTTACCAAAGTGCTGTACAGACAGTGAGAAAAATAATAACAATTCATAAAAAAATAAAAACAAACACATAAAAATACAGAAATATATATATATAAACATAAAAACCGAAAACTTGTCTCTTTGGTATTAAAAGCCAAAGAGAAAAGGTGTGTGTTAAGCAGGGACTTCAGATATCCCTGCTACTTTCTTGGATTTTAATTATCAAAGAACGTAGTCAACATCTACGCTGTTGAAACTAATGTGACATCACTCCCGCTATCTATACAATACAATACAATACAATGTATTGTTGTATAGCCCTAGGTCACAACAGAAGTCATCTCAGAGACTTAACCAAACCATTGAAATCACCAACACAGGTCAGAAAATCAACAGTTAAAACACATGAAGAATATAAAGCACACACAGAAGAAAATGTCCATACATGTTGTAGAATGCTAAAGTGTCCTGATCATCACCAATCCTTTCTGTTGGACACTAACTACTGACGGCTTCTCTCCAGTGTGGCTCCGATGGTGAAGTGTGCGATGTGCTGCTGTTTTAAAGGTTTTACTGCAGAAGTCACATGCAAATGGATTTTCTCCAGTGTGGATTCTCTCATGTGCTTTGTAGTGTGAAGACTGAGTAAACTTCTTGCCACAGTCTCCACAGACGAATGGTTTATCAAAAATGTATTGAAGACAGCAGGTGTGTCAAAGTAAGCAGTACTGCAGGGCTGCTCTGTGCACCTTTTTAGTAAACTTTTAACAACTTTTTAGCGCGTTTTTATTGTTCAGTTTTTTAATATATCTGAGTGTTTTATGTTATTAATTCAGTGGTTTCAGCAAATAGCACTTAGTCCCGACTGAAACCCACTAGTAGCACAGAGGCTAACACAAGCTAACGAGGACATGGAAAGTGACAATGAAATTGGCTCAAACATGCACAATATTAGTCGCCTCACCTTGGAGCTCCGTGAGAGCGACCGTGCCACCATTGCAGAACTACGAAAAGAAGTCCTTCGTCTCACCGCAGAGTTGAATGAGAAACAATCTCTAGTGTCCAAACTTTTTGAAGTCGCTGGTGGGCAGCATTCACGGCTTATGTCACTGAGCGCTGCATATTGTGACACTGTCGTGTGGGAGAGATCCGTCAGCTCCGGACCCTCCTGTTCTACACCTAAGCGCCCGGTTCCGAATAACGAGCCCGCGGGTTCCGAGGAGCCATCCTGCGCCGTGGCCCATGTCCTGAGTCTGGCAAACCGCTATGCAGCCCTCTCCACCGACATCCCGG